CTGCAGCGCCATCTGAAGCAAAGAGCATACTTCCTGCGGACACTTTTTTGGCTGAGTGGCCCATCTTGTTATTTACTATCTTTGGGTTTAGCACCCAATACGTTCTTATCATGAGCGTCTAGTTAACGCCACTTTGCAACACTATAGTGGTAAGCTAATGCTGATGGACTCGTAATCGTGAGAATATGGGTTCGGGGATTTGATGTTCAGCTCGATCCGACGTTGTGTCGTGGGAAGGCATTTTGCACGAATTTTCCCATTTGGCCTGGTCCTGTCGGAAACTTGCTTCACAATTAGGTCAAATAAGTACCAAAGATCCAATGTGTTATTAGAGAGTAACATACGAAGAAAAGGAGGAAAGATAATGATGACGGATCTTCAGGTGTAAAAACTTACTCAGAAATTTGGCGTAGGAGTTTGGAGATTTCAGTTCGCATATTTTCCGGCCTGTTTCGGGGGTTTTTTCTTGGGGGGGGGGGGGGGGGGTCCCTTGTTTCTGTTTTTTGTTTTGTTTTGTTGTTGTTTTTCTTTTTGTACAAAATTATATAGAAAAACTTAATCTCAGTTCTCAAATAGTTGTTACAATATTCCATCATGCAGCGAGTGCTTAGGGAAGAGGTGAAAGAAAAGTTGAAGTGGGGCGTGGACCGCTCGTCGCCTAGCAACAAGATCCGTGATCTGATGGGATGGACGAAAGACATCATGAAAGACATTGCCTACCAGCAGAAAATCCTGAAGAACCCAGTGGCTGTGCTCTTGACCAAAGGCTGGTGAGCGCAACATGACTAGTTTTCTTTTACAGGGCTAGATGGTTGAATCTAATATTTTGTTTCAAAGACTAGATTGTTTGTTCTCCCTATTATTATATTTTTTTCCAGGAAAACATAGGCGGTTTTATTTGCTTTACAGTCTCTACCTCTATTAATGGCATGATCTCCCTTTTCTTTTTTGTTTTGTTTTCTTTTTCTTTCCTTTTCTCTTCTTTCCATAGGCAATATCATTCAAGAGAAATTTTCTATAAATCCAAGCACTGAAGTTAGTGGTCGTTTAGTACTCCACGTTAATATCATTGCCTTTGTCCACTTTGTGCTGTGTTTTAATAAAGCTATTAGTTACCTCCTAGGAAGCACTTGGGGAAAAAGGGGGTGGAAGGGGAGTGGAAGGGGCAGGGGATTGCCAACATAAAAATATCATATTGTGTACGTTTTTGTCAGCTACTAGATACATGAGCAAATCTTACTAAGGTGTAGCAGGTGTGACTTCTCAAAATTTGGGGTTTGTGGATCATTCCACAGAAAAGGAAACTTCAGTGATACACATAATCTACCACGGAGATAATGACCTGCTGAAAAAAAAATAGTGATAGAGCCATTCTTTTTAAAAAAAACTAATTTGTTGTTGTTCTTATGTTAATGGCAACCTTTCCCTTGCAAACGACTCTTTGGTGCTGTGGGGTTGCTCGACTAAATCACGTTTCTTTGAGAATGATTTATAGTATACCAAATATGATTACCATTATCGTAGTTCGTTCTAAACTCTCCATCCTCATGTCTTGTCATATACTGCGCAGGCTTGTGTGGAACCATACAGTGACGTTGCTTAGCTTCGCCATCAACATTCTGATGCTAATGACGTGGGAGGCGAAAGCGTCCCTAGCAACGCCAGGTGTCATGGACAACGTAACAAACATACCTGCGATCCTGAAAGAGTGAGTACAGACTACACCTATCACTTATGTCGTTGTTGGAGGCTACAGCTACTTTCCCAAATTGAAATTATCAGACTTGTATTTTATTCTTTTTACTTGCTTGAAACATTCAGATCTTATACCTTGCTCCAAATTCGAGCTTATGAGTGCCATTCGAAGGTCTTACTTCTTTATTTTCCCTTTGTTGTTTCTGTCTGTCAATTTTACTTTTTCCCAGCACTAAATAACCATTATTGTGTCTACGTGCTTCTCTTCACTAAAAACAAATAAACAAACAAACAAAACATATTCGAACTAAACTCAAAATATTTTGTTTTGTTTTCTTTCTTTTTTTGTGTGTTCTTCTTTGTTTGTGTGTGAGTGCGCCGCGGGGGGGTGGGGTATTTTGAGAAAAAGGGGTGGGGGATTTATAAAACAAATCATAATGAATACAGCGTTCCCTATGTTGTTGTTGTAGTTGTTGTTGTTGTTGTTGTTGTTGCTGCTGTTGTTGTTGTTGTTGTTGTTGTTGTTGTTGTTGTTACGGAAATTTCTGGTTTCGTCACTGTTGTTATTTCTACAGATGCTACTTTTACCTCCTCCAAAGTGTTGCCATTGTTATTACTGCTATTAATAATTTTCTATAACATTATATTATTATGTACATCTCACACTAC